TGCTTTACCGATATTTTAATAGGTATCCAGGAAATTTGCTTTACCGATATTTCGCCGATATTATCGGTTTTTTGCTTTACCGATATTTTAATAGGTATCCAGGAAATTTTCGTCAAAATATCGCGATATTATCGATATTATCGATAATATCGCGATATTTTAGATAATATCGAGACATTTTGGTTTCTCGACAGTCAGTCACAATCTCGCCGGAGAATCAGAATAACTCCGAGCAAGAACAAAACCTGCAACCAAACGGAACAAAATCATCACTATCTTTCAACAAAAATCACCACTTTATACCAAAATCAGTGACAAAATTACACTAATCCGAGAAGCAAGGGCTTGAATTCGAGCAAGATCTGGAAGAAAACAGTAGAAGCTGAGAAATCGAGTACCTCACCGGCAGTTACAGTGCTAAAGATCATCATCTTTGGAAGGCCGCGGATCAGACGGAGCTGAGAGATCAATGAGTAAGCATTTCATAGATCGTATTCGATGAGCAGCTGAAAGAGAGGAGAGAGAAAGCAGAGAGAGACGCGGACGAGGAGGATCTCGCTGATGGGGACGACGAAGGAGAGGTAGAGGTCGCGGCCCGCGGGACATGGTGACGGGCTCGACGAGGAGGAAGGCGAAGGAGGAGCAGAGGAGATGGGTGCGTGCGTGCTGCGGTGCAGAGAAGAGAGATGAGGGAGATATGAGAGAGAGAGAGCCGAGAGGGAGACAGAAGAAAAAGAAAAGAAAACAGAAAGAAGAAGAAAAGAAGAAGGGAGTCGCGGGGGAACAAAGAGAGAAAAGAGAAAAGTGGAGGGGCTGCCACGTGGCCACTTCAGAAAGAAAGGGATCCAATGTTTTGGATCCTGATTGGGTAGTCAAAGAGGACCAATTTGATATATTAAAATGTTTAGGGGATAATTACACAAATATATCTTTATAAATGGGGGTGGGTGTTACATATTGCCCTAAAAAACTCCAAGTAATTACAACATCGTATTAGAATTGTAATTGATCCTTGTTAGATTTGGTTTAGAAATTCTATGTAATTTAGTGATTGTTTCATATTAGATTTAGATTTGAATTTTTTACTCCATTCAGATTTTAAATGATTATAATAGATTTAAAAATTTACGAACTTTGATGAAGTTTAATAATTTTTAAAACTTTTATGTAAAATTTTAAGTGAATTCCCTCAAATTTTCAGGTAGCGATTTGAGAATGTTTAAAATATTATGTGAAATATTTCTAATTTTTTCGAGTTTCCCAGCTTTTTAAAAATCTCTTTGAATCAATTTCTAAATTAATACATTTGGAATGTATGAATTTCTTAAAAATCATGATCGAATACCCCTTAAACTTTAAAGAATCACTTAAAATCCTAATTAAATGCCCTTAGATTTTTAAGGAGAATTAAAATGTTTATAAGCCCCAATTGGATGTACCGCTTAATTTAACTAATTGACACAACACAACATAACCAGTTAAGATTACAAATTAACACAAAAGACGACTTGATGCGAGGTCATATCTACAAAACTTGCCGCAATAAGCCCCAATTGGTGTGTTTAAACTTCTTTCATTAATTACTACATATTTTCTACACTCATAATGTTTGTCAGCTCGCTATATAATCAACTTGATAATGTTAAATCCATCATGCAATGCATTTCCTTCCAATTTTTTGTGATAAACTAATAGATAATTGACTAAATAAACATCCTGCAAAGTTTCAATAAAAATTTTCAAGTTTTTTTTACAATTTCCGTGATTTTCATGTAATTTTTATCGGTATCGATATTATGCCGATATTTTTATCAATATTTCCGTGTTTTCGAGTACATATTTCCGATATTACCGATTCATCCGCGATTTTCTCCCTTTTCGCCAGCCCCTCTTTTGCTCTCAAATCCTTGCTCTTTCTTTTTCAAACTAGTCTCAGAAGAGATCCTGGGTTTATCTAATCCTTTGTTGTTCGGCGTTTTGTTCTCATCTTGCGATCGTCGGGGCAGCAGCTTTAAGGTAAGTTTGTTTTTAATGATTTATCCTCAATTTACGATGTCTGGGCTAACAAATTTAAGATCTTTATTTTTCTTTTTGCTGTGGATCTGCAGGTTTTGACAAGTTTTTTGTGAAATTGGTGCTGTCAGTGGGTGTTAATATCAGGTACCCATGTTCAGTTTTTCGTTTTGATTTGAAGGAATTTCTTGCGCAGAAGAGCTAGGTTTCTTGGTGAGTTCTTCGGGTTGTGCATATGGGTAATTTTCTTTTAGGTATAACCCTCTGCTTCTGCTGCTCTCTCTCTCTCTCATCCCTGCCTGCTCCTCTCCAATTGTTTGCTGTTCTTAAATATTGTGTTCATTGCCTGATACAAGGAGCTGCAGCAATCTGTTTTATCCTACACGGGACAACGAGGCAATGGCGTGACAACAAGTGAGCTTGGATATCCAAAGAAAAAGAACAGTTGGTTCATCTGCTGGAGTCTGAAGCTCAGAGAAGTGGAGGAAAATTGCAGGTGTGCGAGAAATTTTATTTTGCTGATAGGACTCCTTATTTACCGATGCATTTTGAATTAATTGAAAAGTTGGATTTGAGTTAACAGCTATAAAAATGTAGACATGATTGCTGAGATTATGCTATGAAAGTGGAATAAAAAAATGGTAGTTTATAATATTGCGTACCAATTTTTTTCTCTCTTTTTTACCAAATGATAAGGGTGGTGGCTCAGGCCGCCCCCCTACGCGTCCCCACTCTTCGACAAGTTGAAATCATGGTGATAGTTTATGGGTTGCGGTCTTGGGATTCTGCAAATAGAATAAAAAACAGACACTTAACTATCTTGTTATTAAGCATTTCTGCATCATTCAGTTGCTCTTGATTTTCGTCTTTTAAGCGCTCTTATTTCTGCGATCTGACTTGAGGAGGGGTTTTAGACCTATGGTTGTGGGTGTTTTGTCTGACCCCATTAAATTGGTTTCCGAGATTTGTAGACTTGCGATCGGCGGTCAAACATTTCGTGATTCTTGCTTTTTTTCCGACTGGGATTGACGAATTTTGGCCGAATCTGTTTCCTGTTTTCTTCTCTGTTTGAGCGGCCGCTGCCTTTCGGTCGTTGAGCGCCGGCAGTCTTTAGATCTTTGGCAAATCAATTTAATACAACCGAGGTATGTTTTATAACTGCTGTCTTTCAATTTTTGTTCTGTATTTTTGTTAATTTGGATGAAGCTCTAATAATTTTGTTTTGGATCAGTTGTGGTCCTCTGTTAGGATTTTCCTGGCTAAGAGGGTATTTGCATTTTTGTTGCTTGGTTGGTCGATCCAGTGTATTAAAAGCGTGAGGCGTGGGCGAGGCGTCCGAGGGAAGCTCGGCCTAGGCGTGAGGCGTGAGGCGAAGCCTCATGGGACCTAAATTTTTTAATATATATACATTGAGCGTACACATATATTATATTAAAAATAAGAAGATTATTAATCAATAATCACCTTGAGCACACACATATATTATAAATATATACACACACACATATATATACATATATTATATTATATATGCATAAAATAGAGGATGAAAAACACAATGAGCACACATATAACAATGCACGCAAACAACACACACATCCATTATATAAAAATAAAAATCAGAAAAAAGGCATAGAGACAAAAGTGCAAGGAAGATGTATGAGACAGTTAAAATCCTACCCAAAATTTGGGTTTGGGAGTAAAGAAAAAAAAAAAAAAAAAAAAACTCACTGAGGCGCGCCTAGGCGGCTCCGGCGACGCCTAGGCGGCCTTTCGCCCACTCCAGCAAAACTGAGGCGTTAGCCATGGAGCCAAGCCTCAAGGGCGCCCTAGGCGCGCCTCGAGGCGAGTTTTTTAAAACATTGGGTCGATCACAAATTTACGAACAGCTGTGGTGGTCCTGTTAGAGCCAAGCCTCAAGGGCGCCCTAGGCGCGCCTCGAGGCGAGTTTTTTAAAACATTGGGTCGATCACAGATTTACGAACAGCTGTGGTGGTCCTGTTATTTTTTTGGTATGTTTTTTCTCCTTTTTGGTTTTTTCCCGGTTTGAGCACCCATTCATGAAGAATTAAAATGTGTTTATAGTTTTTCAGGAGAGATTAGAAAAGTGATTTCAATTTGGGAAAATTTAATGTTGGTTAAAATTTGTTTATAATTTTTGGGAAGGAATGAGAGGACCCATTGAAGTATGTGTTGTGATTATTTTTTATTCATATTTTTAACAAATTGGGCATGAATTGGTAGGTTAACTGTGTGTGTTTATTATTTGAATCGGCCATGTTTGTCTTTCTATGGTTCTAAAAAATTTGTAAAGGCTGTTAACTTGGAAGAAAATGGGATCGAGGGTGAGGGGAAAACAGCAGAGAAAGCATGGAAGAGAGATTTGGGATTAGGGGTAGGAAAACAGATGAAAAGAATATGATAGAGGAATGGGTTCAGTTCATTTTCACTATTTTTTTTAACTGATTTGGATTTTGTTTGGGTTTGAGGCCATCATTGGCGTTAAGACGTTTATTATCAGATCGTGTGTGTTTTTTGCTAACTTTTATTGGTAATTTTTATGTTGTTCTTATGATTTTGTGTGGTAGGGTTTCTGAATTTTATCGTTGTTCATTTGGTTTTTTCTGAATTTTATCTGATTTTGTGTGGTGAGTTTACAAAATAATACTAAATAAATTTATTTGTAATTTCGGATGATTGTGATTCAATCCTACTACAATTGAAATTCACAGAAAGAATGAAAAACCAGAACAAAACTGCAGCACCTAAAAAGTTGTCATACAAAAAAACATGGAATGTAAAAATATGTTAAGAAATCTAGTTCGTTAATTTCCAGCTGGTAAGCGGCATTATGTAACTTTAGTAGTATAACTAATTAACTACTTATCTAGTGGGTTGCACTTCTATCCTTGATCTCAGTTGTGGCTGCAAAGTGCAGGCCACCACCAAGTCTCAGTGTTTGTGTATTAGCAAAACACTTAAATAAATTAAATTCTGAAATGTAAATTATATTCCTATAACTTTAAGATGCACATATAGTATTGTTGAAGTCGAACTGAAAGCACTGACAATTCCAAGCAACAGAGCAGCAATTATTAAGAGCCAAAACTCATTCCTAGTCTCCTCATCCTGGTACTCTACTCCGTAATCTTCGTTCAGCATCATTGACTGAAATTAGGAGAGAAAAAGAAAAGGAATTTCAGAAATTGTCTATGAAGCAAAGGATACTGCAGTTACTTCAAGACATGTAAATTGCATATGTATAAAGTAATTTTCTACATAAAGTAACGAGGCATAACTCTCTCTCTCCTCTTCAAACCCTAAACAGAGCAAAGCCACAAACTTTACAGAGATTAGAATGAGAACTGGAATTAATAGAACAATGACTGAAAAGTAACATACTTGAGGAGTGAATGATTTAGTGTTTCCATCATCGGAAAGCCGGAGTAAGTCGCTAAGAGAGGTCGCAAACAGCCCAAAGGGACAAACCCAGACCCCCGGCCCCGATCCATACCCTTCCCCCTCAAATCCCGACGGCCCCCATACTTTTCTCTGACTGTACCCCCTCTCCCACTCATGAAATCGAGGATCTGTAGCAATGGTACTGAGATCCCCACTCCTCCCCCTCCCTTTCTCTCTGTCACTCTGTCTCCCTCTCCCTCTGTCTGTCTATCTTTATCCCAGAGCGGCATGGCCTCGCATCCCTGAAACCCTCACCGAAAGGTGGCAATTTTGTAAATAACTTGAAATCCACCAACAGCAGGGGCAGAGAATTGAAACAGACATTTAGGCTCGTTCGATAACCATTTAGGCCAAAACTGAGCACACCTAAACCATTCCTACTCGTGCCAAATGTTAGCGGGGAAGCAAGATGATGACTTTATTGTTCAAAACCAAAAGAAAAAAAGAGAGAAAACAAAATAACAAATCTAATGGTTGTAGTGTAAAAGCTGAGAACGTAAATAAACATGCAGGGAAAAAAATTGAAGATACAAAGTAGCTGCATCATGAAACACTTGCTCCAATTAGACGCAAAAAGTGATGGTGATGAGAAGAGAGAGAAAATGCAGTCGTTTTGATTTTTCTGGCTTTTAAAGGGAGCAGCTTTCTTCGACCACCAAAAAAAGGAAGCTGCTTTTCGTGTGGTTGTGATTTCCTGAGTGTATGTGAGCGGGTCTATGGCACTTGCACTTTTTGTGTCGGTTACGGTAACCGGGCGAGGTGGACACGGCGGCGTGGGACTGAATTCGGAGAGGTGAGAAAAATTAAAAACACAAAAAGAAGGTGTTCATTTTGTCACATTTTTATTACTAAAAATTCAATAAAGTACATTCATTAGTATGGTAACTTAACTATTTAATTCCATCTCATTAAACTAAAAAAAACAATTACATAAAAATAAGGGAAACCTTGTCCAGAGAGACCTGAGAGAAAGTGACGACTTCTCCTCTCATTCCACTCCATACTTGATCTCTAAAGTCCATTTGGCATGTAATTGATGTTCAATTTCAAATTTAGTGGTAGCAATTAGCAAAGCTAATGAAAGAATAAAATAAAATGAAAGAAAAAGCATCATGAAATAAATCAAGATGAAGAATGAAATTTTGGCAACTCGCCATTCTCTTCTTTTATACAAAAGATACATCCTATTTGTAGTGAAAACAGGTCCCGACAAACCCAGTTATCGTCAAGAAGTATTTTGTATGACTTTAAAAACATATTCCGAGAAATTATCTCTTGGCTGAGAACAACAACAAATCTTCATGCATAGCTTGTAGAGAAAGACATCAGGCATACAAAAGAACACGCAAGCATAAAATAAACGACGCAGGGAAAACCAAAAATACAATTGGATACGCTGTCAAAAGAACATAAATAAATGAAAATTACAAAACAAAGAAGTGATGAGAAACCAAAGTACCCATTTCATAATCTAATTGCTTTTTAGTTTGCTTGCCATTTTTAGTTCTTCAATTTAGAGAGAAACCATAATTCAGCACATGAATAAAGTGAAAACATAAAAGATATGTGGGATAAGCTAACAGCCATCCCTGAGTAATGCATTCACTTCTGAACCCCAAACACACCAAAACAAAAATTCACACACATGAACTACAGCTCTGCTATGTAACAAGAATTAAAAGCATCTCAAAACAAAATGGCAAACTATAAGAGCAATGTAAAAGTAAAATTGCAAGAAATCTAATACTTGGAGGGCAAGTACTAATCAGACGAAAATGAAAGATTGAACTACCTCGCGTGGAACTGTGCCTTGGTTTTTTCCCATGCTTACAGGAAGCTTTGCACTGAGCTCTTATAGCCCAAATTTTCTCTGAAGGGAAAAAAACACAATTTTGAAATAAGATTTTCATATTATACCTTAAAGAGAAGAATTAGACAACAAAAAAGAGAACAATGAGTACTTTTCATCATATATTGTTAGAGTATGTGGTCCTCTAGTCCAATGGTCCTGCAGCCATATTTACTTTATAACTCTTTCTTTAGTCTAAAAACATCTTGGATCTCAAATTAATATGAATACGGATTCATACGCATGCATTGCATTACAATCACAATGCAACATCTCATTAGAAATCCCCACACAAAATTCTTTTATTGCTACTTTGATTTTAGTTTATATTTTTTCTGAAGCACGAGGGAGCTAATTTTTTTTTAAAAATTTTTTATTCCAATAATGTTATAGGGTTGAAAGGATATTATCAATTTAATTGATTGTATTTGATTGGTGGAACTTCTATATCTATATTTCAGGTTTTCAAATTCAGCACTGGGAGAGTCATTCATAAAATGTTTGACAGTGAGATTACCTCCATGGATTATGCTCACAATGGACAGCTCATTTTCCGCGGTGATGGGACAATATATTTCAGTCATTCGCCATTCAATCAATTCAAACCGAGGAACAAGCAACATCAAGAAGAGGATCTGCCATGTCAGGATCACTGTCGTCCAATTAATACAAAAAATCTAGATAAAAACGATCAATTTACATAAAAGCCTTTCATTTTCTCAGCAACCAAGCAAAAGAAAATACCTATCCGTTAAACACTCGATTTGGGAGTAAACGTTGCTGAAACTGGACTTCAATCCCCTCAACCGCAACAATCGAATCGAGGTGTGCAAGTCATTGAAAAACTCACCCAAGATTTCAAAATCTGCATAAAGAAATAAATAAGCACATAAATTAGCCAACCCTGTTATGATCCCACATCGGGTACACAAGAAATTGTGTAGTGGTACTTAAGTGCAAGGGGTCATCCCACCTATTGGACTAGTTTTTTGGATTGGGCTCTTCCCTTGGGCTTGAGTACCTAACATTGGTATCAGAGCCTAGGTTCCCGACGCTGCGAGACTTGGCGAGTGGTGCCGCCTCATGGTGCCGCCTTGGGAGTATGGGCTCCCAAGGGTCTTGGAGACGGGCAAGGTATGAAATGTCGATATTATCGCGATATTTCGCCGATAATATCGGTTTTTTGAGTTACCGATATTTTAATACTTATCCACTGAGTTTTCGTCAAAATATCGCAATATTATCGATAATATCAACAATATCGCGATATTACCGATAATATCGCGATATTTTGGAGATGTGCGAATCGGAGAAGAAGGCCGGAGCTTCTACAGCTCCTGCCGACTGTAAAAGAGCACCCTAGACTCCGATCTAGGTATCAAAATGAAATACAAGACGAGAGGAATGTTTTTATAACTTCCGTTTGCCGTGAAACGGTCGAAGGTGTTCGGAAAGTTCGTCGACACCCACGGCCTCGCCAGAGATGGGTGTGCCTATTCTCGAGCCGATTTCGTCCCAAAAACCTTGCAAAAACACGAGATAGAACTTAAATTTCACATCTAAGCTTCAATCTAGAATAGAATGAGGTAAACCCGAAGCTTACCTAACCGGAGAAATTCAAGAAACTCGCCAGAGGGTTCCTGCGTCGCCGAGTTGCAGAGACGAGAAAGAGATGGAGAAAGACGAGGTTGCTGATAACGATGGGTGTCTTCCTCAAGCAGGTGCGATGGTGTGCGTGTGTGTATGTGGGTCTCGGTGCAGAGAGAAAGGAGAGAGATGAGAGTTTCAAGAAAGAGACGGCGCCAACGAGAGCTATTTGTTTTTTTTTATCTTAAAAAGAGAGAGGTCTAAGAGAAATGGGAAGAGAGGGCCGAGTGAAATGAAAGGAGGTCCTTGAATTATTGAGAGATATCTCTGAGAGAGGCCTAGGATTTCTAAAAGGTAATTAGAAATGGGAAAAATGGGGCACATCTTAGCCTTTATTTTGGAATCCTAAGAAGTTCACCACATGGATGCATGACATGTGTGCATGCCATGTCTGTTGAATGGGAAAAGTCTGACATGGAAAGACAAAGAGTCGTTTGGTCCTCTGGGCTCGAGGCAAGATAGAAAGTGCTAGGGTTTTTTTTTCTGAAATGAACATAAGCTGCTAAATTCGCATATATTATAGTTGTTGCTAAAGATTGACACTAGTGCGGACTTGGACGTGTTGGTCAACATGTCCTCACAATCCCCAAGTTCTCCGGTTCGAACCCTTACGCCCATCAAATTTTTCTTTCTTTTCGATGCGCTTTTTCCATGGCTCTAGGTCTTGATTTCGAATCCAGGTGAGCCCTTTCCTTTTTCTTTTTTTTTTCTTTTTGTTTTATTATTTGTTTATTTTAATTTATTTGTTTCTTTTATGTTTTTCCTTTCTTTTAGTTTCTTTGTCTTAGGCGTTCGTGTTTATTAAAGTAGGATGTAAAATCAATTATCTTAAAATTATGTGTTTTTAAATTTTGGACTTGTTTGTTGGATACTTTTTTTGCATTTTATCATTATTTTATTATGAAAATATGCTAAAATATGCTAAAATATCACTTATGTTTTTGTGAAAATATGCTAAAATATTTATATATATGGTTTTGTTTTGAATTCTTTTTGTACTAATTCATTATATATAAATGATTATGGTGTGTTTAAACTTCTTTAATTAATTACTACATATTTTCTATACTCACAATGTTTGCTAGCTCGCTATATAATCAACTTAAATCAGTAAAATCCATCATGCAATGCATTTGCTTCCAATTTTTTGTGATAAACTAATAGATAATTGATTAAATAAACATCCTGCAAAGTTTCAATAAAAATTTCCAAGTTTTTCTTACAATTTCTGTGGTTTCCATATTATTTTTATCAATATCGATAATATCCCGATATTTCCATCGATATTTCCGTGTTTTTGGACTACCGATATTTCCGATATCATCGATATTTATACCTTGGCGACGGGGGACTTGCCGACTGGTGCCGCCATGGACGTTGGGTCTTTCGAAAGGTGGTGTAATGTTATGATCCCACATCGGCTACACAAGAAATTGTGTAGTGGTACTTAAGTGCGAGGGGTCCTCCCACCTATTGGACTAGTCTTTTGAGTTGGGCTCTTCCCTTAGGCTTGAGTACCTAACAAACCCATAAATCAAAGAAATCAAAATCCACCCAGAATCAAAGAAATCAAAATCCATCCAAAACCAAAGAAATCAAAATCACACACAGATATACAAGGTGTACAGTATTGACATGCCTTAAATGATATTATTCACAAGATTTATAAAGCTCATGTTGTAATACTTGTGCAGAATCTATCATTCACGGCGTCACTTTTGTGCAAGTCGTAAATAAAATTATTCACGATTTAAACATTGTGTGTCGTATTTGACAATTTATACTACGCACTTTCTTTTTCTTTTAAAGCTTTGCGTTATGTCGTAAAGTTGACTTTCTATATATTTGGGTTGTACCTTTTATGGCGCAAATAACACGTCGTAAATAATGGCTTTTAGCACAGAAGTTTTGTGGTAAAGAAGCCCGCGCACTAATTCATTCTCGCGCCTTCTCTTTTTTATTTAGCCGCTTCTTTTTTTGGTTTTTTTTTTTTTTAAAATTCCCCTCAAATCTTAAAAGGGTTTGTATTTTCTTTGGTAAACTTGAAAGAGAAACATTGCAATTGCATTTTCATTTACCCAATATTAATTGTCGAGAGCCCACCCCCTTCCCTTCTCTCTGACATCGTAACTCTCTCCTCTCCATCGATCTCGCTCCATCTGCTCGCCGTCGCTCTATATGCTCGTCATCGCCGTCGATTCGTCTGCTCGTCGTCACCGTCGCCCATCTGCTTTCCGTCACCGTCGAAGTGCCCCGCCATTCAAAATCTGAAATCCCCAATACAGGGTGCTTTGCGGCATTTCGTTCTCCAAAACTTTAGGTATGCTCTCAATCTGTATCAACCCTATCCTGTCACCTCTACTTCAAGGTGAACAATTTATAGTTTATAAATTTTACTTGTGTTAATATATATTTTTTGGTAAATGTTATGGATATTTTATCAAATCAGAGAGTAAATTCGTATTAAGTGAAGATTGGCAAAGAACATATTGTTTTGAAAGGTTGAATAATGTTTGCAGATCACATAAATCAGTAGTTGTCAAGTCCATAAGAGAAGCAAGAAATCGGAAAGCAAGGCTTCGACTAAAACCAAATAATGTCAAATTAATTCAAGATTGGAAGACTTTCCTTGCAAAGTGTAAGCTCATTTTCATTTTCTTTCATTTCTAAGATTAGTTATCTTCTTTTGAGTTCAAAATTGGGTCAGAGAAATCAAACTGATAGTAGTTAAAAGTCTATTTCAACACCAAGCCTTGTCTACACAAGAATTTGGTGTTAGTTAAACATGTGTATGATTCTATCTTGATTGCATGTTAATTTAGTTTGAAGATAGATTTGGTACATGCTAGCTAATTGATACGTGATATGAATCTTTGGTTTCCTTTTGATAGGACAAAAGTGAAACATTCAGAGAGATGAAGTCTAAGCAACTCCGCACACATGTAGTCGCAAGGGATATGGTAGGTTGGCCGAGGATTTGGTAATTACATTTCATTCTAGTGCCTTCTTTTCTACAGGACAAGAACAATTTACTAATTTTATTCTGTGTTCTACTGTGTGTTTACTACATATATGTTTCTATTTTGTAGAAAAGAAAAAGTGTAGACCCTTCTCTAGTTTCTAGAGGTGATGTTTGGATTGCAGCACATACTAAAAAGGGTGGTGGACCATCCAATTTGCTTGCTGCAGAGACTATTGTAAGTAATTTTTAACCATTTATTTCTTCTTGTTTGTTGATATGCAATGACGGATGAGGTCTTAACTTTGATGTGCAACGTTAGGAAAAAAATTAAGCAATATGGAAATGGATCATCATCTGGTTTTCGAGGTGACGTTCTTTCCAAAGTTTTTGGTGCTGAGCGACATGGTCGTGCAAGAGGAGTTGGAGGTGGTGTTCCTCCTACAAAGCTTGGAATATTTTCACAACAAAAATTGCGTAATCACCAAATGGATGAAAAGGTGCACAATTTAACTAATCAGGTCAGAGCACTGACAGAATTGGTGCATCTTTTTATGAAAAATCAGGTTAGTGATTTAATAACATTGGTATCATATTGAATATTTGTGAAATCAGTTGTAGTGACACATCAAATCACAGGGTAATGATCTACCAAGTGAGGCATCTCCTGACACACAGGTTGCAGCTCCTGAGGCACATGTTGATACTGTCGCAAGAACTGAAACTCGTCTTTCCCAATGCGCAACAAATGAATCGTGGTGGCGAGGTTGATACACTTTTTCAATGAGCCTTCTAACTATTAATGCTCATTGACTCTGTTAAAAGCTCTGCCATTTTCAATCTAACTAGACACTAGAAATGATCATTGACTCAGTTAAAAGTTTTGATGCTTTGGTCCTTTTGCATAGTTGCGCATCTACTGATTTCTATTTTTTTTCAAATCCTGCAGGTTATTTCTGAAAACATTGAAACATCGTGGTGTGCCAGATGGTTTGATTATAAGACACCTTCCTTTTGGTCCACCAACTTATTTATAACTGCTAAATGGTACGTAGTGTGATAATTTTCAAATATTTTGATATTAAGACAGGTGTAGGACAACATAGAAATTCTTAGGGCCTTCAGCAACAAAATTATGAAAAAGTGAGTGAGATACAATTAAAAAAATGAAAGAGAAGGATCATGATTCATGATCTAAAGGTTTGAATAGGGTAGAAAGGATTTAGTTTCGTTGTTAAAATCGATTTGTGAGTCTATTGTTATTGTATTGTCAATTTGTTTATTTACTTGAACTTCCTAGTATCAATTTGGTTCGATATATCTAGCACCACCATAGATATATCTAGTATCAATTTGGTTAGATATTGTCAATTTGTTATTTTATTGTCAACTATAGAATGTGCATCAGTTGTAAAAGGAACAAAACAATTCAGATTTTTTGTTTATGTCCAAACTTAGAATTGTATTGTAATTGACAATTTCTACTAATTAATCCAAGTATTTGGAGTTTAATATGTTTATGATCAATATTGTTATCCTTGTATTGTATCAGTTTAGATGTTATGAAGTGAGGTCTGTCTAAAAATGATATGCTAAATATAGATGTAAATTACGGCATCTAAAATCAGCAATAATTGTTGATGGTAGTCTTTTTTTTACGATGTATGCCGTAATCACCTTCACAATATTACGACACTCAACAAATGCTGTATCAAATATAAATTACTGCACACTAGTATGTCGTAATTGTTTTTCAGTATTACGACACCCTATTAACGCTGTAACTAATACCAATTAAGGCACGTAGGACATGCCTTAAGAACATTTATGGCGTGTTTTACTTAAATTATTCACGACTATTAGAGTACGTTGTATTTGTCAAAACATCTTTTACAACAGGGGCTTTTACTGCTTGGAGGCTCAAGCCGTGAATTTCCATTTATGGCACCCTTTGTGCGCCGTAAAAGGCCAATTCTATTGTAGTGATCCATGGGTACATTTTTAATCTACATGTTTCGTTTTAATATATCTATTGCTATAATATGTTTTGGTTGGTTCAAATTCGTTTTACATAAATATATGGGTACAAAGTTTTTGGAGAATATTATGTAAAATGGTTTTTAAGGTTGTTGCATTTTATGTACCCACATATGCATGTCTATAAAACAATGTGGTATGATGTACATTCTTTTCCTTGAGTTTTTAAATGTACCCATGAGTTTTCTTGTAAATTCGGTATGTATCCATATGCTATTTATGTTATGGGTACATACATTATTTTTGGTCTAAGTTGGTGGGTACATTGCTTTTGTATGTATGAATTCATTGGGTACATTATTTCCCTTAATACTACTCAATAAAATTCACAAAAATGTGCAGTGTGCATGAATTTTTATTGTAGAAATTGTTTTTTTTTATTTTTAATTTTTAAGTCTCATAATTCGTGAATTTTGTACATATTGATCCCATAAATTTTTGAATTTTATTAAATTTTTTTTAGACTTGATCGATTGATTGAATCTCATAATAATCCCTTAAATGTTCCAATCAATATTTTAAAATACAGCTTTTTATTTAAGATTTCAAAAAGATGACATGAAAACATAGTAATACTAAAATTTTGTTTTAAATTACATTTGTGTAACAATCAATGGTATGTTAAAACTGGGCAAAAAAAAAAATGGTATATTAAAAAATTATAATTTATTCTTTTTTTCATAACTGTCTTCTGCTTAGATTAATTTTTTCCAACGTTTCTCTTCGGGAGAATTAGTTCTTACCAATATATATGCACATTATCTGCTTTTTACCTGGTCTTAACACATGATTAATTACTTTCCTACCTGCTAACGCGTTGACTTGCGCATCCAAAGTATTATCAAAGTCACTGCCACCAAAAAGGTGCCCACTCCACAACCTTTGGTTGAACCAAAGAACATCACAACAATAAGGAAATCGTTAAATCTATCTCCGCAACATTTTTATTAATCATTAGATAGATTAAACGATCCCCCTATTCATATTGTGTTCTTTTGTTGAACCAAACCATGTCAACAAAATATATCTATGGTTAAAGCATCTAGATTCAAGCTTTTGGATGTGCAACTTAAACCCCTCAATGAATAGCCAAGCAATTTATCATGTGTTTACAGTAGGTCAAAAGAAGAAAGTGTTTGTCTATATATTAATAGGAACTAATTCCTCTGAAGAGGAGAGATGGAAGTGATGATAATAAAAAAAAAAAAAGTCGTATTCAGTGCACAAGGCTCCCGCTTTACGCAGGGTCTGAGAGAGGTGAATGTCGGCTAGCCTTACCCCCATTTTATGGAGAGGCTGCTCCCAAGTCTCGAACCCGAGACCTACCGCTCATGGGCGAAGACACTTGCCATCGCACCAAGTGCGACCTCTAAGGGATAAGAGAGTAATCATGAAAATTTTGAAAGTGAAAGCATTGCCTTGGAATATATATTCTCTTTAGGAATTCTGTGCCCAACTAAATTCTAGATTCTCAAAATATGAAATTAGCAACTTCACCAAACACTTGGACATGTAACAGGTCACACGTATGGTACCAACCTTACCAACCTTACCAACCATCTATATACCTATGTTTTCGAACATCGTTAGATAATTAAAGTACAGTTCACACAGCATTTCACATAAAAATGGCATCATACAACACATGAGAAGTACTTCTTACAGTAGCAGTCTCGTAACATGACTATAGTTTTTGTTACTTCTTAAGAAAAAAGAGTTTAAAATCCTATTGAAAGATAATTGTAGAGACAGAAACCCAAACTAGTTAATTAGGTTTCTTTACATCTCAATAAAATTGAAGGGAATGTATCTAATATTATCTACTAGAGCCTCTACAATCATCATAGAATCCACAACCCACATTTTAATTAATCGAAATTCCATGAACACAAATAAGCAAAAGTTGAGTGAAGCCTAAGCAATATGTGATCATTTAGAGAGTCAAACTCCATCTTTTTAGAATTAGGGACTTTTCAATATGAAAAGGTAACCTCCACAATCCAATATCATATGAAAAGGAAAACCCAAGAAAAATACAGTATAATTGTGTGCAAGAGCAACACAAAAAAAGTTGAAGAATTAGAAATCATAAAGAGACTTGAGACGATTGTTGCTCACTTAGCTAAAGAGCATTTGCACTTGAGGTCTCGAGTTCGATTGCCCCCTTTCTTTAGATCGCTTGAGAGGAAAAACCTACCATTCTCTAGTCTAAAGATATATGCATCTTTGACATGAATGACTAGAGGGGAAGAAAGTGCAGACAAATCACACATACCTTCAAAAAATTTTATGGGGTTGGTGAATGGTGATTAGGGATACTGACTTTTAATAGCCGTTGATCAGTGTATATTGCACACGCCTTCATCAATGGCTAGCGTCGGTACAACTGTGATTGGGAGGGCCTTTTTACGATAATAGATGGGTAAAGGTTTCATTAGAAGGGGAATTTTGTTCTGGTTTGCCATAATAACTTGAAATTAATGGTTTTTTGTAATCCTTAAGTTATTGTCATTTTAGGTTAACTTTGTACCTGGACTCTTTACTGGAGCTATCAATTGAAACCCCCATTTTCTTACCAAAATATGAAAAACAAAGAGTCCCATTTTTACAGCACAGTCCTACTCTAGTTGAAATCCGATCGACGGTCAAGATTTTCTAGTCATGTGAAAGTATCACATATATAAAATTGACTGGAGAAGGCATGCCACATTGCCATGCCCTTGACAGCTTTACTTTGTTTACAAACTTTCTAAAAGAAAGAAAGAAAAAAATCTAAAATGGAAGGTGATAGCGATTTTACCACTTGTAAAACAAAGGGTTAAACCATAGAAAATTCTTGCAAGAGAACAAGTGTTTGTAGTATAGAATGGCTCAAGCAAGGTCGATCTCCTCAGGGACTGATATAAACAATTTACGAGTTTTTATGTATTTAACTTATTTAACTCTAAGAATTACACTAATTTAACGAAACTAAATATTATTGGATGTGACTTAAACAAATATCTAAAATGGGAATTGGTTTTAGGGAATAATGATTCAACTTAAACAAAACAAGTAAATGAGGAAATTCAAGATAAAATAAATGATTAAGAAAAATAGATTGACAATATGCTAGAGTTCAACATTTACCAACAACACTCTTACGTAGCTATTCCAATTGCTTAAATAATTGAAAACACATATGCTTTGAATGTTGGATTTTCCTTGTGTATGTTTTACTTGTGACATTCAAGCTAAAACGCATACCACTACATGCAACTTATCCATGACATTTGAATTAAATATAAACATGAGTGATTCATTAATCTTGGTGAAAATCCTTTTGTTAAACCATATAATCCCTAAGAGCATGATATTTACCTTAGGAGATTACAATTCTCAATCACAAGAAGCACAACCAATTTTAACGTGACATTCGTTCAAAATTGCATCCGATAACTTTTCTAAGCATCCTAATGGTGATCAAGCATCAAGGTACATAGATAGTTTAATTCAGTGATTGAAAATATCAAAACAAGCATGTAACAACACTTAAGCAATTGAAAAATAAAACTACGTATTCATGTTGCGGCTCATGGCCTCACTCTAGCATAATACTTTAAATAATTAAAGCCCAAACAATTTACCAAATTTCATCTCTGTACTCCGCAGAGACGCTAAACGAGACATATTTGGTCCATCTCTGAACATCTTTTCTTACTGTTCTTACAATAGAAAGGGCACAAAATTGACTTACACAGTCTTGCACAATACTCACTTTGCTTCAACCCATATTTCACTTTGTCAAATCATACACGTTCCTGCAACAGGTGAACTCATATTTATCTACCACTTCTTGCTAATTTTAATTTTTCCATTCCCATTTTTACTACAAGTTTTCACATAATTTTTTTATTGCATTTGTCAATTCTTTATACTTTTTAATTGTATTTTTTTTTTTGTCTTTTATGTGTTTTCTATGTTGGCACAAGGTTACAACAGTATTAAACAATTACAGGTCCTCCAGAGGTTTGCTTATTGCCCTATTTCATCAAGCTCGGTATAAATAGATCTTAATTTTTTACTACAGTTAAATACATGGACATGCCTCCACAAATACAAATTAGTTCTTGCTTAAATACTTTGTGTGTTTACATAGAAAATGTTCCCATCGTCTACCAAAATCCTCCACACATGAAAACAAAAATTCTTACTCAAAATACTTATTACAATACCACCATATCTGTTGTTTTTTATTAAATTAACACACTGTTTTCAATTTTATCTTCAACACAAAAGAAAATGCTCTTACACAATGTGTTTGCTTACATTTTATAACTTATCTACCACATGTTAATCGCAGTTATATAAATAGGAAAATACGTGTTCAATAGAAGTGTGATGCATGTCACTTCGTTAACAATAGTGGAAACTAAACAATTAAATAATTTGTTTCAATTAGTTAGTACATTTTATAAATTTCTCAATTAGAACTGTTTCAGTA